TGCCCATTCCAAGGTAAAGGGGATCTGATGCACTCAACCTGGTGGTAGCTGGTATCCCCAAGACTGAGTGTTGGTCTCCAGTGCTGGCAGGCTGGACACTCCACCATGGTGGGAGTTACATCAGCCTTGGTAAGAGGTAGCCCATATTGGCCGGGCATGGTAGCCCACGCCTGTAATCCCAGCACTTTGGGAGGCCAAGGTGGGTAGATCACAAGGTCAGGAGTTCAAGACCAGCCTGAGCAACATGGTGAAACCCCGTCTCAACTAAAAATACAAAAATTAGCTGGGCATGGTGGCATGCACCTGTAGTCCCAGCTACTCGGGAGGCTGAGGCAGGAGAATTGCTTGAACCCAGGAGGCTGCAGTGAGCCGAGATCACACCACTGCACTCCAGCCTGGGCAACAGGGTGAGACTCCGTCTCAAAAAAAAAAAAAGAAAAAAGAAAAAAATAAGAGGTAGCGCATATTGTTGGGACCACACACAGCCTCTATCCCTGCTACCATGGTCTCTGTTCATAAGCCTATTGCATAAACAATAAGATGGCCCCTAACCAACAAGCCAAGTCATTCATCACTGCCTGGGAGTCAATGCATATCTGTACCTTAGGTTACCTCCTCCAAAATATGGCATGGGTGACCAAATGTACCATTGCTCACTGAGGTAATTTCTCTTCACCAGTATGCTTCAGGGCAACTCAAGTGGGGCTGGAATGAAGGAACAGTCTGTTTCTGGAAGATGCCAACATGCTGAACTGACCCAATCTCCAATCTGTGAAGAGGCCAAGGCTCTTCTGTCTCCATCAGTTAGTTGTAGGGAACTTCTATAAGGCCATAGGTGTAAGTTTATGGGAGAGGTGGCAGTAGCGCAAAGGTAAGTGACATAGGAGCTTGGAAACGTGGTTTTTTTTGCCTTAGAAGGCATGACCTTGCTCCAGAATCTTAGGTATTTGTGCTGTGATTTTTTTTTTTTTTTTTTTTTTTTGAGACGGATTCTCGCTCTGTCGCCCAGACTGGAGTGCAGTGGCATGATCTCGGCTCACTGCAAGCTCTGCCTCCCGGGTTCACGCCATTCTCCTGCCTCAGCCTCCCGAGTAGCTGGGACTACAGGTGCCCACCACCATGCCTGGCTGATTTTTTGTATTTTTAGTGGAGATGGGGTTTCACCGTGTTAGCCAGGATGGTCTCAATCTCCTGACCTCGTGATCCGCCCTCCTCGGCCTCCGGAAGTGCTGGAATCACGGGAGTGAGCCACCGCGCCCGGCCTGCTGTGACTCTATTAGGGGTTGAATTGTACCTCCACCTCATCCCCTTAAGTTCTAGCCCCTGATACCTCAGAATGTGATCTTATTTGGCAACAGGAGCATTGCAGATGTAATTACTTAAGATGAGGTCATAGCGGATTAGCGTGGGTCCCTCATCTAATGACTGGTATCCTCATAAAAAAGGGAAGTTTGGAAGTAGCACGCAGGGAGAATGCCAAATGAAGATGAGGGTAAAGACAAGGAATGCAAAAGACATCCAGCAAACGCCCAGAAACTAGGAGAGAGGCATGGACAGATTGCTTCTCACAGCCTCAATAGGAACCACACCTTAATTTCTGACTTCTAGCCTCCAGACTGTGAACCAACAGATTTCTCTTGTTTAAGCCACCCAGTTTGTGGTACTTTGTTATGGGAGCCCTATCACACAAATGCACTCTCCTATTGGGGTGTGCCAGCGAGTGCATACAGCACCTGTATCCATCAAGGATATTTCTGGAACCAATGAATTTGCAAGTAAGCCTGCACTGTTGCTTGAATTTACTATAGAGCTCTCTCTTGCCTCAATAAAAAGTGGAAGCTGCCAGGCATAGTGGCTCACGCATGTAATCCCAGCACTTTGGGAGGCTGAGGTGGGTGGATTGCTTGAGGTCAGGAGTTCAAGATCAGCCAGGCCAACATGGTGAAACTCCTCTTCTACTAAAATACAAAAATGCTGGGCGTGATGTCGGGCACCTGTAATCCCAGCTACTAGGGAGGCTGAGGCAGGAGAATTGCTTGAATCCAGAAAGTGGAGGTTGCAGTGAGCCGAGATCACAGCACTGTACTCTAGCCTGGGCTACAGAGCAAGCCTCTGTGTCAAGAAAAATAACTAACTAACTAACTAACTAACTAAATAAATAAATAAAAAGTAGAAACCTTTTAGGTCACCTAATACATGTATTGGAACAGTTTTCTCAGGTGCAGAATATGCTACCTCCCAAATCCAAAGGGTCCCACCAGGACCTGTACCAATTTCTTTGGGATTAGAGGGTGCAAGGTGGAACGAACTTCTTTTCCCTTTGGGTGAAACCACTGGACCCCACCAAAACTTCATCCATTTGGTAAGTGCCCATATCTTCAGGTTTCTGTACTGCCTTAGTAAGAAGTCTTACTAGGATATCTATGACCCTTGTCACTTGCTGCCCACTGGGTGCTATTAGCATTTGTTATCAATATGTGGACCATCATGAACTTGCAGGTTGGGTCAAGTTCCTGCAGACTACACTGTGACAGAGAACAGGTCTCAGGATCCCACCCTCTCCCTGTATGAACCACGACTTTGACTCAGGGGACCTGCCGAGTATGCACAATTGGTCTCCTTTGCATTACTGTCACTGTTATAAACAGATCCTCGGCCTAATTTTCAGCTTAGCTAGATGCAGAATTACCTTAGTAATTTATAAAACAGCTATTGTATGTATTTAGGCCTATTTTTGGACTTTTTTCTTCTTTAAGAAATTCACCGATATTTTTGGACTTTCTGTTCTGCTCTATTGATCTATTTGTCTATCTTTATGCTGATACCATATCGTCTTGATTACTATAACTTTAGGAAAAAATCTTAAAAGTATACAAGTACTCCAATTTTATTCTTTTTCAAAATTGTTTTGGCAATTCTAAATCCTTAGCATTTCTACATAAACTTTAGAATCAGTTTGTTAATTTGCACTAAAAAAACAAAATAGGCTAGGTGCGGTGGCTCACACTTGTAATCCCAGCACTTTGGGAGGCCAAAGCGGGCGGATCACCTGAGGTCAGGAGTTTGGGACCAGCCTGGTGAAACCCCATCTGTACTAAAAATACAAAAATTAGCTGGGTGTGGTGGCACCCGCCTGTAATCCCAGCTACTCTGGAGGCTGAGGCAGGGAAATCCCTTGAACCCGGGAGCTGGAGGTTGCAGTGAGCTGAGATCACGCCACTGCACTCCAGCCTGGGCGACAGAGCAAGACTCTGTCTCAACAACAACAAAACAAAACAAAAAAAAATAACAACTTTCTGAGTTGTTGCCACCGGTGTCATCTGGCAAACTGTTAAAAGAAGATTTTACTCAAAAGCAAAATAGTAGCTGCTGTTTCTTAGGACTCTTTGTTATGTTTCGATGAGTATTGGTGGGAAGTGGCCTCTTTAAGTGGGTGCCTTTTCTGGTCCTCTCACTGGAGCCAACAGCCCGAGTCAGCTAAAACTTGGAGGCAATGTGCCTCACTGCCATAGTTCACTCACCTCTGCTGCTGAAATGGTTTCCCATCACTTTGCTAATAGGTACAACCTGTGAAGGGTTCTGAGGTGGGGAAATGACAACTCAGGAAATAACTCCAAACCTTTAGCTCTCCTAGCATATTAAGGAAGTACTATGTCATCTATTGTCCTCGGGACCTGTCAATAGGAACAATAGCTAGACATCACCAGGGGGTGTATTTCTATTCAACACAAGGAAAAGTTTCTAATTGCAGCCCTCCAGCATGAAATGGACTAAGCCGTGTATTTTCCTTCTCTGATCCTGACTCCACTGTGACTGACTCTAATCTGTGACTGCAGATTAGAGAGACTGTGTCATAGTATGAATTTAGGTTAGGTCGATAGTTAGGGGGAAAGAGAGCAAAGGAATATCAGAATCTCCAAGAAGCTCATACAATTTGAAAAAATAAAATGCCACACTTCAGGTTTTCTTGTATTTAATTTGAAATGTCAAGTAACATTAAAGAATAGCATTTGATTTGCTTAAACAAAGTAGTAATAGCTGAAGTTCCTTCCAAATCACTTTTTGGATTCTCTAAGACGCTTGCCTATGCCTCGCAGATTAGCTCCATCCAGAAAACATATTCTTTAAGGATCCAGGATCAGCAAGGGGTCACAATGTCCTAAGAGTTTCTGTCCCGGCGCTCTACCTGTCCTGCCCGTGCACCATGCTTTTGCCTATCCCTGTTTCTGCATAGATTTTAGTCTTCCCACCAGGGGCGCAACTATCAGTCTCCTCGGTCTCTCTCGGTCCCATTCCAATCTGCTCATCTCCCCTCCCGTCCCCGCTTTCCCCAAGGACCTACTGAGTAGATTTCGATCCCACGACTTAGTGGGTCCCATCTCACCCAGGCCCCGCAATCCTCGCCTTCTACGAGTCAGCGTAGTACCACACTCTGAGCAGGCACCCCTGTGCTACTCACGGAAGCGGGACCATTAGGTCGGCCATTCCTCCTCACCCCACGACACGCACCCACAGAGTCGGGCCGCCTCCGAGTCTCAAGGGTGGGCTCGCGTCAGGGAGAGGCCCCGGGAGCGCTTTCCCAACATTGGTCTCAGTCATTGCTGGTATAACGGCTAGAGAAGCCCAGTGAGTTAGGATGGAGGGCGGTAGGACCGGAAAAAGACGTGGAAAAGCTGCGAAAACGAGCCTTTGAAGCCTGCACGCGCGGGCCCAGCTCCTCATCCGAGTTCCTCATCCGGGGCCCTCACTCACATCCGGGGCCCTCACTCACATCCGGGACCCTCATCCTGGACTTTTACCCACATCCGGGACCCTCATGCCGCGGCGCGGTGAGGGGGCCCTCATTCTGGGCCCTGCACTCCGTCGCCGGAAGTGCTACCGAGAAGCGCCGGCCTCCGGGCTGTCTAGAGTGGCCCGGGAGAAGCTGTGGTGGCCCGGAGCGCGGGTGTGTAGGTGACAGGACAGCTGCCAGGCCCGCCCCTCCCCTCCCCTCGGTGAGTACCCGGAAGCCGTTCTGGGGTCGCAGTGGGGTAGCCGCTTGTTTCGCCTTCACGGGAGTAGAAGGAGGCGGCGTCCGTCCGCGGCCGACGGTGGTTTGCTTCCCCGAGAGTGCGCGGAGGCCCGGGTGCGAGGAGGGCCTGTTTTTCTTCAGCCCTGGTTCATTCACCTCGCGGACCTAGGGCCCCGCCGTCAGGAGCCGGCGACCGTGCCCTGGTGCGAGCTGGTCGGTATGGCCCCCCTGGTTCTTTTGGGACTTTGCCTTGGCCTAAAAGGGAAGTGGGAGGAGGGCAGCGCCGGGCAAGGCCTTCTGAGGACCGAGCTGGGAGCCCGGCGAGGGCCCAGGGCGAGGGTGGTGGGAGGGGGACGGCACCCTCATGCGTCCTTGGGCCTGAAGGACGCCGCTCAAACCTGTTCGAACCGCAGCTTTTCCCTGCGTTGCTCTCAGGATTGCGGGAAAAGGCCGGCCTAGCTGGTCTGAGTTAGCGAAGGGCCTGCCCCAGAAGTGGAGTGTTATTTGCCAAGCCCGTTTAGTAAATCAGAGTGGGCTGACGGTGTTACCAAGACATTCCTAAGGGGCCTGCTGTTTATTTATTTATTTAAATGAGTTTATTTACGTAAACGCGGGCTTGTCACGGTGGTTCAAGCCTGTAATCCCCTCAGTTTGGGAGGCCAAGGTGGGAGGATTGCTTGAGTCCAGGAGTTCGAGTCCAACCTGGGCAACATAGGGAAACTCCCATCTCCACTAAAACAAAATTAAAGTGAGTAATCACAACTAGCGTTTTTCTTTGGGCACCAACTTGAGCCTCCAAAGAAAATTGTAAATTTTAAATATTTTATTTCAGACGGGCTGCCATGCTGTCATACAGGCTGGAGTGCAGTGGCGCAGTCATAGCTCACTGCAGCCTCTACCTCCCAAGCTCAAGCGATTCTCTTGACTTGGCCTTTGCAGTAGCTGGAACTACAGGCCTGGGCCACCACGCTTGGCTATTTATTTTTATTTTTTGTAGAGATGGGGTTTCACCGTGTTGTCCAGGACGGTTTGGAACTCCTGAGCTTAAGGGATCCACCCGTCTGGGCCTCCCAAAGTGTTGGGATTACAGGCTCGAGCCACCACACGTGGCCAATTTTAAATATTTTAAACTTTCTACAGAAAGTTTTACACTATTGAATTGTACTGTGTTGATTTTTTTTAATGCTACGAATTCCAAATTAGAGACTCCTCCATACTTGGATCATATGATTTGGTTCTTAAGTATTTAAAGCTGAAGCATATCCATATTTCTTTTTCTTTCTTTCTTTCTTTTTTTTTTTTTTGAAATGGAGCCTCACTCCGTTACCCAGGTTGGAGTGCAGTGGCGAGATCTTGGCTCACTGCGACGTACGCCTTCTGGATTCAAGCAATTCTTCTGCCTCAGCCTCCCAAATAGCTGGGATTACAGACCTGTACCAGCATGCTGGCTCATTTTTGTATTTTTAGTAGAGATGAAGTTGCCCCATGTTGATCAGGCTGGTCTCAAACTCCTGACCTCAAGTGATTGTCCCGCCTCAGCCTCCCAAAGTGCTGGGATTACATGCCACTGCACCTGGCCCCATTTTTCTGTAACTTTTTTTTTTTTTTTTTTTTTGAGATGGAGTCTCGTTCTGTCACCCAGGCTGGAGTGCAGTGGCCGGATCTCAGCTCACTGCAAGCTCCGCCTCCCGGGTTTATGCCATTCTCCTGCCTCAGCCTTCTGAGTAGCTGGGACTACAGGTGCCCGCCACCACGCCCTGCTAGTTTTTTGTATTTTTTAGTAGAGACGGGGTTTCACTGTGTTAGCCAGGATGGTCTCGATCTCCTGACCTCGTGATCTGCCCGTCTCGGCCTCCCAAAGTGCTGGGATCACAGGCGTGAGCCACCGCGCCCGGCCTCTGTAACTTATTTAGGGTGGTTAATCATTATCAACTAATTTTTATTGAATATCCACAGTGTGTAAGATATTTTGCAAAGTCCTGATGATATAAAATGATGAAATGTTTTAACTTATTACAGTAATTTTTCTTAATCTCACCTTGCAGTGATGGTCATTGTCCTCCAGAGCAGTGATGGAGGAAATACCAGCCCAGGAAGCAGCAGGGTCACCAAGGGTACAGTTTCAGTCTTTGGAGACCCAGTCTGAGTGTCTGTCCCCAGAGCCTCAGTTTGTGCAGGACACCGACATGGAACAGGGACTCGCTGGGGGTAAGGCAGAGACAGCACTTCTATCTGGGAGAGTGGGAGTGTGGAGGGGCTCCCGAGGGGGCTCCTGGGCCTGGTGTGAGAGAGGCCAAGAACTGGAATAAGAACGTGGTCCCTAGAGGGAGGAATGAAAGAGGGGGCAGATGTGACTCAGTTCAGTCCTAGTCTGAGCCCTTTTATTAAGGACAGCTCGTCTTTCTTAAATAAGCAGAGTGATGGCACTTACTCGCTGTGGTTGTTTTTCCTTCAGGCAACCTTCACTTCATCCCAGTTCTCACATCCGGAATAATTTCTAAAATATGCTGCTTTTGCCGCATCTCACAGTCCTTTCCTGGCTCTCACTTCCTCTTAAGATTCAGGACCTTTCCTTCCCTGGTTCCCTTCACTTAGTTTTGCTTTGCTTTGTCACCTGCCATCCATTCTGTTGTAACTGCAGTTTTTTGTGACTAGACTAAATTTGGTCAAGGAAGCAACCATTTAATTCCTTGTTTGAACACAATGCCTGTATGAATGTATATATACTGTATTTTGACTACGCAGTCACACTTTTCTGTATCGTATAGGTAGGTTGGTCTTTTTCTTCCTTTGTTTTGTAAGAGCTGTGTCTTAGATTGCCTGTGGTTAACCCTAGTGCCTGAAATAACTTGTGTGTCACCCACACAGATCAAGTGGCACAATGTGTAGAGTGCTGTGGGGGATTGTGGGACTGTAGAAAAGATTTCGAGGAAACAGATGACCCTTTCTTGTTCTTGGGGGCCTTACACACTGGTTGAGACAGTGCCCATTCACAAGAGAAAGGCTTATCAAGTGTCTAGAACAGTGCCTGGAAAGGGTCAGAAGTCTGCTAAATAACCCTAGCCCAGGACAAGTCCCCACAAATCTTTATGCTTTGCTTTGCCCATCTGCAAAACAGGTATAGTCTTACTCCTCTGTAAGAGGACTGTCATGTGATGAAAATAAAGTGAAATACAAGCTTTCCTAAGAAAATCCTGTATCACAGGTCTAAACTTGCATAAGGCATGCAAGTACTGAGACAAAGCAGAGTAGACACAACCCAATACCTAAAAAATGTTCATTGGTTTTACTAGAGTATTGAGGAGGGTCCTGCTGACACCCCTTGGGCTGGAGAGGCCTCTGAAAGGAGCCCTGGGAAAGGGCTGCTCTCACCCTTCACTCCTTTCTCCTCCCTCAGCTCCACCTGTTCCCCAGGTGCCTGCTCTTCCCTGTGAGGGAAGCCCAGGAGACCAGGCAGCTGCGCTCTTGACAGCCAGGTACCAGGTGAGCTGAGGAACCCTCTGCTTTTCCTCAGGGACTATTGCTACTGATGGAGTGTGGCCTCTCACTCATCCCATCTGTAGACCTTGCCTGGAATTTTTTTCAATAGCAGAATCCAGTTTGGGAATTGATCCTCTTCAGAGACCTGGACTTCATATAAACCAACTTCCCATCTCCCCAGTACCATGAGCAAACTCTGTTTTTTCTTTGTTCATGGTTGTGTGACGGGTGCTTATTAGATGTTTAAGGGTTATGGGCTTTATTCCATAGGTTCTAATCTGTTCTCCCTCCTCCTCAACGTAAGTACATACTGGATACCCTCTCTGTGATCTTCATTCTCTGGCCATGATGCTACAGTGTTCTCATTCCCTCGCTATGATCTTCATTCTCTGGCCATGGTACTACAGTGTTCTCATTCCTCAGAGCAGCCAGGATATGTTATTTCAGGAGTTTGTGACATTCGAGGATGTGGCTGTGCACCTTACTCGAGAGGAATGGGGATACCTGGACCCTGTTCAGAGGGACCTCTACAGAGAAGTGATGTTAGAGAATTATGGGAACGTGGTCTCACTGGGTAAGGACTTCCTTATTATTTGGTTTATCTATTTGAATTTCTTTACTTTCTTGTTTCTTCCTAAGTATAAGGTCTCTGAGAAGGTCTGTAGAGTGTGGCTTAGATTCCAGGTCTTAGAACCTCTGAATCCTTATCTTTCATATCATCTTCTCTGGGAGGGATAATTAAGGTTTGTTTGGGGGTGCCAAGAGGAGACATTCTCCTCCTCATCCCCAGTTCATATTTCTGGCCATTGTGGGGCATCTGTTCCCTTTTAGCAAAGGGAAACTTTCTTGTGCTTTGCTTGATTTCTCACTATTCTCTCTTCCATTTTTGTAGAAGAGACCCCAGGGTGGCCTCCCAACCTCCACCTGGACACTTTCCTCTTTGGTATCTCAGTGTCCCTGTATTGGAGAATTGGAGAATTTCCCATTTTTCCAGGAAAAAGAAATGCCGTTTAAAAAGATAGGCTAAATTCCTTCTTGCTGAGTAGTCCCTCACCCCATAAGATCCCCAGATGTATCTCCAAGCAGGCAGAACTTGAGATGTCATTTGAAGGCGTGACTCACTGTGAGTACATTTCAGTGAGTCACCCAGAATGGTAATCCAACGTAACCGCACCCAGGGCAGCAGAAATCTCAGACGTTTACCCCACGCTGAGGTGGGGTCAATGCTTAACTCATGTCTCTCCCTTGTCATTTTGAAAGGTATAGTAGGAAGCTGGGATTAGGCAAGCTGTAGTGCTGCCGGGAAGCATCAGTAGGGTTTGTCGGCAGCTCCCTTGGTGTGAGCATTGTTCCTTTCTCTTTAGTTTATTTTTTATATTATATTTTTAATTTAATTTTATTTTTAGACAGAGTTTCACTCTTGTTGCCCAGGCTGGAGTGCAATGGTACAATCTCAGCTCACTGCAACCTCTGCCTCCTGGGTTCAAGCGATTCTCCTGCCTCAGCCTCCCAAGTAGCTGGGATTACAGGCGTGGGCCACCACGCCCGGCTAATTTTGTATTTTTAGAGGAGACGGAGTTTCACCGTGCTGGTCAGGCTGATCTCGAACTCTTGACCTCAAGTGATCCACCCTCCTCGGCCTCCCAAAGTGCTGGAATTACAGGCATGAGCCACTGCACCCGGCCTCCTTTTTCTTTAGTTTCTTGCTTGCTTCTGCACTCTTCTTTTTGTGTGTGTAAATACTGAATCACACGTTTTATTTTCTTTTTTTTCCCGTTGGCTTTGTCTATGCTGGTGGTATCCAGGGCATTGCTTTGTCTCCCGCTGATTATGCTCAGAATTCAAGGTCTTCTTATCTGTGGGGAGGCAGCCTGCCCACTGGGACGGTTTTTAGTGTGTTTTCCATTCCCGGCTCTTTAATCTTTGTAGGCATACTTCTCCGCCTTCCCACCACCCGGATTCATAGTGTGAATTCCTGCCCGGCCCTGAGTCATACCCAGGCAAGTGCTTTCTCTGGAGAAACACTTGCCATCCTTACAGCAGGAATCTCCAAGAGATGGCCCAAGTATCGGCTTCCCATCGATATTGCTCGTCCCTGCTCGGAAACTCCTTTTCCACGATTGTGAGATATTAAACTTGACTGATGGAATAGAAGCTCCCCAGGATGCCACCACTGTGTAAAATCGCAGCTCCTCAAATTACCTCTGTTTAATTTCTAATGTTAGGGTCCAAGGAAGCCCTCTGTTGCAACCAGATGCATTTTGAACTCAGTTCATTCAGAAACCATGGTTTGTGGTCATCATCTACTTGTGTTGTGAGAAACCAGAAATTCCAACTTCAGCTCTTCAGTTATGGTCTTTTCGTATTATTTTAGAATGTGAAACTTACGCTATGTGCCCCTCCTTTTATGTGGCAAACACAACCTGCCCCGTATGGTGCCTAACTCTCCTGTGAACCCTGGGCTTTCCTCATGTTTAACATTCTGGTTTCCTACTTCCTTGAAGTCCCTGTGGCCCTCTTCAAGGTCCTACCTTCTTCCCCTTTGTTCTTTGTGGTTCTGTACAGATTGATGTGTTTATATTGCCTTTCCTGATTAAGTGTTCCTTACTCTGTCCTTGATGGAGGGGAGAAGGGAGGGCAAAGAAGTTAAATTTATTTCAGCACATCAAAATGAATATCTACTTAATAACTTTGTAAACTGTAAAGTGACATACATATAATTGTAAAGTACTGTTAATTTTGTCTAATAATTACAGAGTTTCCAACAGTTAACCTGTCTACTTTTTGAAGTAAAGAAACTTTGTAGCAGTTTAATGCAGTCTAATAGCATAATATGCTATAGATTGAACTTTATCCCATTTCCTCTCTTATCTCTGCACGCACACTCCACATGCTTGCACACTTAAACGTACGAGAGACATACACACACGATGTAAGAGACCCTTCTACTCATCTTGCTTTTGTGATCAAGTTAGCAGCATCTCCTTAGCAGTTATTTTTACAATCATTGGGAAGTCATTTTCATATTTGTGGATTCAGCAAACTTCATCTGAAATTTAACTCATTTATGCCTAGAGTTCTATTATTGGAACACTAAGCTTGCGGGAATGATTTATATCTTGCTGCTCAAGGTCATCGCTAAGGTCTGATTTTTAACAAAAAATATGTGCAACCACTGGCACAACTGGGTTAAGTTTATACATTTATTAATTTAACTTTTTGGGGTTGTAAGACTTTTTTTTTTTTTTTTTTTTTTTGAGACGGAGTCTCGCTCTGTCGCCCAGGCTGGAGTGCAGTGGCACCATCTCGGCTCACTGCAAGCTCCGCCTCCTGGGTTCATGCCATTCTCCTGCCTCAGCCTCCCAAGTAGCTGGGACTACAGGCACTTGCCACCACGCCCGACTAATTTTTTTGTACTTTTAATAGAGACGGGGTGTCACCATGTTAGCCAAGATGGTCTCAATCTCCTGACCTCGTGATCTGCCCGTGTCAGCCTCCCACAGTGCTGGGATTACAGTCGTGAGCCACCGCACCCGGCCAAGACTTTATAATTCAGTCCTGCTTTCCAGTTTACATCGTTTTCTCATGGCAGGAGCTCCAGATTGTATTTTGTTTTGTTTTGTTTTTGAGACGGAGTCTCGCTGTGTCGCCCAGGCTGGAATGCAGTGGTGTGATCTCGGCTCACTGCAAGCTCCGCCTCCCGGGTTCATGCCATTCTCCTGCCTCAG